AGCACAGAGCCCCGGGAGCCTGCTGGGCACTCAGGGCAGCCAGTGCCCACTGATGGGACTACAGGGAAATGCCAAGTTATCCAAATGCTCACCAGCCCAGGCACGCTTGGCACTGCATGAAGAACTAGGTAAAACATGAGTTTAAAGTTTGTCCATGGGGTTTTTCCCCTGTGAGGTAGGAAAACACCTTTGAGGCCTTGGCCCTGCCAGTGCTGAGGGTTTTTTCATGGCCAGGGCTGCTTTCATTGCTCCAAGCAAACCTTCCCTGTGGGAGAGCATGTGCAAATAAGGGCTGGATGTGTGCTCGGAGCTGGCTGCTGGCCTGGGGGGTGACAAACGGGCCTGAACCACAGGGGATGTTTTGACACCACRAATAGGGATGAGGAATTAGGCACTGAGGTGATCCAGAGAGAGGATGAGCAGCTCYGCTCTTACAGGGATTTTAAGATGCTGCTTTGAAGGTTTGCAAAGTACTTCAGCTCAGCATCACAAAGAAACTCTTAAAATCTACTTTCAGAGAGCTGGCAATGTTCCTTTTGTAAAACTAATGAAATCAATCAAATAATACCCATCCTAACCTTAAATCTTAAATAATTTGAGAAAATCTTGAACTCACAGATATTATTAAATGGTTTATATATGATCAAATGTCCTCTTTTAACAGTGAAAATTATCTATCCCCAATTTCTTTRCATTCATTATCTGTTTTGACAATGTTTTTACAAATCTCAGTCTCAACCAATCACAGAATCAATTATTTTGTATTCCTATTTTAAACTTCTATTTGTCTGAATCAAGTACTGTTCATTCCTACCCAAATTCTTTACATCTCTGCAGCTTACTGAACACAGGGTGCACCTGACTGCAGTTCAGGGAGAAGCAGTGAGAGCAGCTTCAAACAGACTATTAAGTTATTAAAGGTGCATTTTTATAGAAGAAAGTGTGAGGAACCAAAACTAAGGAGCATTAAAAGCAGCTGGGTAATTYTGTTGCACTCAGTCTTTCTTCATCGTTTACCTCATCATTAAAATTGTGATTTTAGATTGCAATAATGAAAAATAAACACACTCCACAGCTGGCCTGATTAATACTCAGTCTATATCCCCCACACAACAAATCTGTATTTGAAAAGAGAGAGAACTTCTCTGGTAGCTCAGCTAAGGGCATTTGTGATGATTAAAAAGTCAACTTCTGCAGTAGAAATATTATCAGTTAACTGTTAATTGATACTGTCTTTCCATAAARTCTTCTCTTAGGATTCTGAGACCTACAGCTAGAAAAAAAAACCAAAACAAAGCAAAGTTGAAATGTTCTCCCCCAGTGCACTCCACCAGCCCATTTCTAGAACCTGAACCAGTTTGGTATCCACTAAATACCAACAGAAAACCTCTCTCGTGCTGTAGCATCATCACCAACATGTAACACCTTCTGGAACTCCTATTCTGGGCCTGGTTGGACAGATACCACCATGGAAAAGTTCTTCCTTCATATAAAAATTTAAAAAACATCATTATACTGTAGTGAGGAGCAGATCAGGGAATGAGCACGGCCCAGAGGCTGCCAGAGCTCCAGGAAGTTTGGATAACACCCCCGGGGATGCCCAGGGTGGGGCTGTTGGGGTGTCTGTGCAGGGTCAGGGGCTGGACTGGGTGATCCTGGTGGGTCCCTTCCCACTCAGGGTATCCCATGGTTCTGTAGACAGTGAATTCTTCACCCTTTGCAGTCATTGGAAATAACTGCATCCAAATATTTTAAGCAAAGGATCATCAAAGTTACTCCACTGAGATAGTCCTATACCTTCACTGACATACTCCTATAAGAAACACATTTTGAAAGGGAATGTAGATGAAACACTTGCTGTAAATTGGTGGATACTGTATCAAATTGTGGGTAAATACAGTTAAGCATTGGAGAGAGTGGATTCCAGTCTCATTTGGTATTCATCCAACTAACTCATCCCATTTTACCAGCTGTCCTTTATAAGGTATCGCTGATGCTCCAGTGGGCCTCAGAGACTCCAATTGCATGGAAAATTATACAACTGTCAGCATAGCTCTGCCCAAGGGGGGATTCAGCATTGTTCTGCAAAGTGACAGGGCGAGATYCTGCCCATGTGTGGTATTGCTTGGATAATGAAAGTGAAACTAATCTGAATAKAAATACTTTTAAAGCAAATTCAAGTCAACACATGTGTGTATTTTTTTCATATAAATTATTGCCATAGATTTTGGTAAAGTTCTTTCTATKAGCACTTGAAATGGGAGCTTTTCGTTCTAATATAATCACTTTAATGCAGGAAATCCCTCAGGCATAACTGAGAGCTGGGATCCCCAGTGCATCTATAGCTAAAGGAGCAATCAAAGAAAATTTAAYGGAGAGACAGAAGTCTTGTAACCCATAATAATATTATTAATTCATTCAGCATGCAAATATCATTCTACTCAATATTCAGCTGATTTCCCCAGCTCTACACTGAATTAAGACAGAAGTTCACTGGTAAATGTATCCTCACAAAGGTGTCAATGATGTTTGAGTTATACGTATGACATCTTACCTTGAGAAGTTCAAGGCCTTTAAAACAGTTTCAAAAGGCACTTCTAAATGTGATTGATCCTACCGATCCATAGCTGGGACACCAGGTATTAACATGGGAAAGGAATTGAGTCAACTCTGAGCTTATGACTGCTTCTTGCTTTCTAAATAAACCAGTCAATTCAGCTTAGACCACATTTTACCAAATTATCCTGTCCCTGCTACCAGCAAACATTTTTTCCTCTATTTCTGTAACTGCTTGAACAATATCCCACAAAATTACAAGGACTTTATGAAGATAAATTCTGGAAGAGCTTTCAAGGCAGGGATGCACCAAGTTCTACAGTCAGGTCCTTCTCACTGCTCCGTTCATRCTCACTCTGGACCCTTGCCAGCAAAAGCCCACTTGGTTTCTTGAAAGAAGTGCCCTGCAGTAATTCTTACTCCATATTTCCCATTAAACCATGTAAGATATGAAACTCACCAAAGTATGAAAAGCAAAGGAGGTTCAGTGAACTGTGCTTCACCAAGATAAGATGCCTGGTTGGGATAGCGATTTTCAGGCATTGTAGCRAATTGTGGGTTTCCATAAAGGTATTCAATGGGAAACCCATTGCTGCAAATACCAAAAGATAAAACTAGGGTTGTCAATAATTAATTTGCAAATCATGTCTACGTGAAGTCAGAATTCCATTTCCACACAGGAAACAATTATGTTTCTTTCMTCTAAGAATAATCCTGTCTTCAAGAATATCCTCTTCCCTGTGCTTTAACTTTCTTCACTAAGCTTGGAAAGAAGAAAAACAATGGCTTGGGACTTGGAACTCAATATAAGCCTAAATTTGCCATAAGCCTTTAAATTTCTCTGCTATGGATACTTTCCACTGAAAATTTCCGGAGTTTGACAAGACATATTTCTGAGAATTTTTCCAAGCAAAACAAAGAAGRTGTAAACTCATGTGACTGGGAATTCCTATTATGTGATCTAATGAAAATTAAAACCCAGCAGAGCCTTCACAATTCCAAGGCTATGCTGATTGCCATTTGAAGCTGGAAAGGTTTTTCCCTAATGCACAAGTGATGAAGTGCACGTAATGCTGGGAGGAAAGTTACCTTATCTGCAGTATCAGATATAGATTACTGCTGGAGTCAGCGTGCCACGCTGCTGGATCCATACGCTCTGTTCCGATAGGAGGAATTGAGTTTCCCTGATGTCATAAATTGAACACATAATGCAATTAACATCTCCTTTGAAGTTCACATTGACCAGGTAACCACTACAATGAGTTGGCAAAACTTGACTGAAGTCACCGCCRTGAACTGGGCTCAGACGGAGACTTCAGCTCTGACTTTCTGCAGACGTGGAATTCTTGAAGCAGAGACACTGAGAGCTGCTCCTTTGGGACCCCTCAGCTGGGGGAATTCACGGTATCACACTACAATTGACATGTTTATGATCACACCAATAATTCCAGACTTCGAGGCATTTAAACAGAGGAGGTAACTAAAGGATTAATTTTAGAAAGGAGAGAATGGAACAAAGCCAAGACATCTATCTTCTTGAAAAAGAAAAGAACTTAAAATGAACATCTTGGCTACTTTACAAGACTGCAGAAATATTATAGACTGAAAGACTGTGTAATTTCCAAAAGTGTTAATACTCCTTGGAGATGAAAATACGGTGACGAAAATAGAATTCTTAGAATGGAACAGAATTTTCCTTGCACTTAAAGAGAAAGAATTGGTGACCAAGAAAGTGTATGAGGAGAGGAAACATAGCACCATTGTCAATGCTTTATGGGGAGATATTTGGCATGAGCATTAAAAACCAGGTTAAGAAATTATGGTTAGGTAGAAAATTCCAAAAACACTTAGAAAAATASATACTGGAAAGTCATGAGTGGTATTATTAATCATAAAAAGTAATGAGTTTAATGTTACAATACAATAGAAGTCCAACTGCTAAAAACATTGATACAATCAAAGACTGATGGTTTAAGCAAAATTATCTATGGTAACCTAATAAGTGAAGATTGGTAACCTATATAAGTAAAAGCAAAAAAATATTCATCTACTCAGTACTATAAGGTGCATSTCAAAAGGTCATTTCATATTCTCAAAATGTGCAAATACCTAGAAACTGTTTTGAAGCAACTGTTTTGCACCCCCAGGAGCAYAGAAGTTCAAGTCTCTTTGCAATGCCTAAAACACGTGTTGATTTTTTAAGCCATTTTAAGAAGGAAGAATTAATGCATTTAGTTGTTAGAACTAAAAGCACTTCTTTCACTCTCATGCCAGCTTTAGCTATAGCTGGGCTGGTTTATCTTCTTTCTTGGAAGACTCTTATTATTGTTTGGAATAATGGCAGCACCRTGAGAATTCTGTTCAGATCTGAGTCAAAACTTCTTTTTTTCAGTGTCTGGAGAGCATTTACACAAAGTCCCCTAATTCAAGTGAAAAGTGCTTACCTTCTGTTGGTGATGTCTTCAGATGTCTGCAGAGCCCCTCTGTTTCCCCATATGTCTCTTTAATTTTTACTACTGCTTCTGTCCCTCGGAGTTCCATGAGGGAGCGCAGTTCCTGCAGTGTGCACCCAAACTCTCCTGCATGGTTGGCCTCATTTCTTTGGTTCTTGGAATAAAAATCGCTATTTGTCATGTCACCCATCGTGGCTGGTTATATTGCTCCACTCGTTGTAGTTGATACAATCTTAAAACTGTTTAAAAATTGAAGGAGAGGAATCTTGAATTCCAATCGGAGAAATTAAAAAGAATCCCGCGTATGTCYGGCGAGCGACGTGGAGGATGCCCCTGGCGTGGAGGGTGTCCCTGACTGACTGGAGGTCACAGAACGGCTGCTCTCAAGGCTGCAGACCAGCTCCACTCCATTCACCATTTCCCATTATGTTGCACCCAAGCTGTAGAATCTACATGGTCATTTCTTCCTCTGGACCTTTGGGAACAAGCAGAAAGGACTCATTACAGGAGGGCGCGGCAACGCGTGGCAGAGGGCACGTCAGAGGGATTGTGGCATCTCCGAGGAGCTGCCCAGCACCACGGCAGTGGGGTGTCCTGGCAGTGCTGCAGGTCGGCAGCATCCACGCCAGRAGAACACCAGCTCTGCCTTAGATAAAGCTCTCGGCAGCTCGGGCACCAATAGCGGCACCGCTCGGGTCCCAAGAGCGGCCGCTAAATGAGATGAGTCATGAATATTAATCAGTGAGCGATTAGCCCGGCGTGCAGGATGCACCCCAGGACGTGCTCTGCTCCATACAAACACTCCGGGCTGTCCTCGCACCACAACAGAGGCTCCTGATAAGGCTCCGGGTTCAAAAGGGGTTGAATGCTACCAGATTTCATAACGGGTTAAAGCAAAACTGTTTCTCAGCACAAGGGCAGTGAAACTGGGGGGAAAAGCTATAGAGCCACCACCACCAATGCAGAATACATTTAAATACATTCCATCTTGCAGCCTCGCCTTCTGTCAGGTGGCCACAGCCCAGCAAACAGAGAACACACTGGGATGTCTGGGTTGGAAGAGGCAGAGCTGCTCCTCAGCCAGGCAGCCATCGGCTCCTTTCCCCTGAGCCCAGGCCCCAGCAGGCACAGACACACACACAGGATGCTGCTGGGCTCTCTCTTTCTCCTTCTTTTTCTCTTTTTTTTATTTTCTTTTTCCCCTGTGTGCCGTGTTGAACGAGTCCCATTCGGACCATCTGGGAGACAGTTGATTACTCGCTAAAGCCAGCCTTTAAAACCTGTTTCCCCTGCCCGTATTCTAATGAAGTTGGTTTAAATACTGCTGAAACCAGCTATTATATTTGGCACGCAGAGTTTTAACAGAGATTAAAGGTTTCTTTTTTGCCTCAAGCGGGTTAGTGCGAGTGCACTGTCTAATCTGGAGGTCTCCGAATAGTTTTCATAATAAAAAAGATCTTTCAAAGGGCGCCCCAGCAGCCTAATGACTGACCAACCTGTCAAAGGCAAAGGGCACACGGTGAACTTTCTAGGCACAGCAATCCCTGGTGGAAATGAGTGCCCAGATAAAGCACATCAAGAGAAGCCCGATGTATTTCAAGTCCTGGTTTTATATTTGGGCAATAATTTCCATCTCCCACCCACCTACAGTTGGCATAACACAGTGATTTGCTATTTCCACTGTCTGACCACACTGCCATTGCTCTGCAGTGACAAAGATCAGCRCTAGGTGGGCACTAATTTGGAGCTGCTCAATTAGCAAAACTGAACCTCTACCAGTCCTCTCCATGACAGCTTCAAACCTCAACATTCCTTTCATTTGAGGAAAGAATAAAAAAAAAAAAGAAGTATGAGTTTCACTATGATCTCACAGACCACGATTAAAATACCAGCCAACTGCCACACATTTCTTCCATCCATCCTATTACTGATGCATCTTCTAGTGCTAAGAACTTCTGCCACCCTAAATTTCACATATTGCTTTTCACGTTCACGAGATGAGAATTTCAGCACAAAATGTGGCTTACAGGAAAGGACAAAGAGCAATCAGAAGCAGCAATTAAAGAATTGCTTTATTTGCCAAGCAGGAGATGGTGATCCACACTCTGCACACTGGGCGCTGTTCAGCCTCCACCATCCCTAGGTAATTCCCTACATCCAGCAGGGAGAAAAGGCCTTACTCACACTATTGCTTTGTCTGTTTGTAAACAGGATGGATCAGTATTCTGAACAGAAATAGCATCAGCCTGCAGCATTATTCGCAAAAAAAAAAAAAAAAAAATTGCAGGCCAGAAATGTCACAGATGCCCAGTCAAACAGGCTTCATCCCAGGAGGCAGCGAATGTCCACAGCCYGCGCTGACAGCGCTCCTCCTTCCTACCAGCAGCGCTCCAGCCCTGCCTGCTGTCAGCCCTGCTACCTTGCTGCTGACAGCCACTGCAAAATGCAGATTGAGAGCTCATTGTCAAAAGGACTCGCAGGCAGCGGGAGTAAGAACAAATAGCTGAAATAACAGGCTGCTGTTTACTTMTTTCAAAAAAAAAGAAATCAGTTCCTAAGTGCAGTTCAGGGTTTTGAAAGCTGGGCATCTCAAACAGCCGTGATTTTGAGAAAAAAAGAGCACAGAAAAAACACTGCTCTAATAAAAAAATCTTTTTAGAATTTTTGCTCTAATAAAATAAAATTGTTCTTTAGYTGTTCCATAACAGCACAAAGAGACAATTTTGAGTATTTTCTGAGGAGAACCAACCACCAGTTTCATCTGTGATGCAAAGGGTCCTAAACACAATGCCAAAGACATTTTCTATGTGATCTTCCTGTGGGATGTGTCCGCCCCTCTCAATCAAAGCATCTCTTCAGGCTCTATCACTATAAATTAATATATTTGCTTCTATTCTTAGAAATTCCTTGTCATTTGTCAGCCACAGCAAGACAGTGCTGTTGCTTTTCAGCATGACTCATTCGCTTAATTTTTAATTCCACCTCCGATTAAATATTAATCAATAAACAACAAATATGAAGTTTACACTTCCTTCAGAGCTTCAAAACCAAATCACTGGGAGTCTGTGCTGCTCATGACTCACCTACTGCTGTGCCACCAGGGAAACACCACCTCACGTTTTTGAGAGGCAGATGGTGAAGCGCRGCAGGCGCAGAGCGTGACTGACATTATTCCCTGCTAATTCAGCTCCCTAATCCCGTGGAACGGGATTCTCAGGCTCCAGCCCATCCCAGAATCTCTCCCAGAAAAAGCCCAGGGCCCTTGCCAGGCTGGCAGGACTGACACATGGCCACCTCACTCCTCCTCGGTGGAGAATATTGAATATTTCTTTACCCAAAGCTGAGGAATAGAGGAGTTATGGCTGGCACGTGGCAATATTCCCATCATGGGGCTTTGCATCTCCAAAATACATCCAATCACCACAAGTGGGGGAAACTTAAAGAGTCTCATCCACATGAAACCCAAGTTTTACACTGGGTTGGGGTGGGGTTTTTTTTTGTTTTGGTTTGGTTTTTTTGGGTTTCTTTTTTTTTTGTGTGGGGAGGTAAGGAAATGGATTATTTTGCAAAAAGCACAACATTGATCTTTGCAGATGTCCTAGGYGAACTACAAAGAAATCCTGATTAAAGGAGCTGATACTGGTACATTTTTCAATCCAAATGAACACCCCCAATATGATCTAATATCCTAATGATGCAATGAATAAAGTGAAGCGGATTTCAGGCTCTGGGTGCTGCTTTCACTGGTCTATCCATGGCGGGCTTCAGTGGGTTTAATTCATAACCAAAAGCCTCCTGGAACATAAAGAAACACAACCCCAAATGCTGAGAGCACAGCTTTCCACACCACCCTAGAGCAGAGCCCCTTCCTCCTCCTCTGGGTATATTTGGTTTTATCATTCCCTGTGGAGCAGCTTAGAGGGCAAACATCCCTCCTCAGACATGTTCAGCAACGGAGAAATCAACGCTCCAGTAGCCAAGAAACAAATTTCTCACACAATGTTCGTTTGCTCTCCCAGACAAAAGCAGTCACTTTAAACAAAGCTTATTGGGCTTTACTTATTCTTCCCAACGCTTCTGAAAYAAGAAAATGGAGTAAGAGATGGCCCAAAGTGCAGTTTGAAACAACAGAATGCTGTGCAGCAGAGATAAAATCACAGCCCACTTAGATACAACTCAGGTAACAAAAGACTTCACACACTAGAACACCTGAATAAAACACCATCCTCATTTTCCTCATGAAAAACTCAGAATAGCTGTCTGCACCTTGATCTGGGATTTTGCCAAAGATGGATATTTGCTGTACAAAAGCCACACAAACTTGAGCTGGCTTTTTGGATGAGTGTTTTTTTCCAGACTGGCTGTGTCTGGGGGAAGARGCTTCCAGTCCTGTAGAGCCCAAGTCAAATATTTTTCATCTCCTAGCTGCTTAGAGGAAATGCATGCCAATTAAAACAGAAGCAATTTGGATGAGCTAACTGCAGGCCTGCTGGGAAAACTATTCTTTGATTTCCCTAATCAGGAAAAGTCTCATCTTGGAAGCTTGTAAATATTTTCACAGTGTGTTAGAATGTAGATATCATCCCCAAGTCTTCTGACATCTGATTTCATTCGGGCTTCTACAGGCAGCAAAGTAAACAGCAATGTGATGAACCACATTTCACCAGAGTAGAATCACAAGACTTGCATTTCACAGCCCTTAAAGTCTGGACAAATCATGGATTCACAATGAATAAAAAAAAATTGAGGATATATCATAAATGGACTGTTTTCTCTGAAGTGTCATCTGAGATTGTGGCATCTCCCAGTGTGCTGCTGGAGGAGCTGCTGGCACTGCAGGATGAAAGGTGCTTGATGCCCCCAGCCAGGGCAGAGCTCAGCAAAGGCGCTGCTCACTCCCCACGCAGCTGAAGGTGGCACACACAGCTGCTTCTCTGGGAATTACCTGAGAAATCAGCAATCCCACCCTCCCTATGGGGCTTTACTGCCCCACCTGGGCCATGGCTTGGCTGTAGATACAGTTCTAGCTGGGTCTACAAAGAATCCCCAAAAAAACCACTAAAGTGTCACATTTTTGTGAGTACAAGGTGCACAGAGGTACATTCACCTGTACATTCATCTGTATTCACTGATTCCATTCCTCCATAAAACAGGGCTGGAAGCAGATTGAAGTCTGAACAAAATCATCTGAGAGGGGCTTTTTTGACACTGCAGTTCCTTGAACTCTGTGCTGGGAGCAACAGGGCAACAGATGATTGCAGAGGATGAAAACCTCCAGCAGAGCTCTGCCAGGGGAAGAGAGCTGAGAAGGAAAACCGTGACCTGCTCTGGAGAGGTCTCCAGATGTGTGAAAAAAATCAAGCGTGGCCCAGTTGGGGCATCTTTTCATGTCAGAGACAAAAYGTCCCTCCATTTGCGGGTACAATCTTCATGAACCAGAAAGAGGAATGGGCTCTCTACCCAGCAGCAAAGCT